AGAGCACATTATTGGTAAGAGGGCAACTCCTGCATGGCCATGCCCACCGAGTCTCTCGGAATTCTCATCTTTTCTTTCCAATTACCCAAAACTTCCATCCATCAACTTAAGTCAATAAGCCATGAATTATTGAGCTTGTAGGATGCAGATCATGAATATGTATGTGTGTGCTTATGTGTGTGGAAGGCAAGATTGCAAAGCAAATGGGCTCCACGGTGGTTTATAGGCAGCCAACACACATGCCCTTAAGGGACTGTCTGAAATCATTTTACCCATGTATATCATTCAAGCACAGTTTCAGCACACAGAAGATGGTGGGGAAAAAAAAAAACTCACTTTTTTTTTCCTTGTAGATTTCTAGCTTCTGTTCTCCAAGCACAAGTTACAGAAAGTGAAACATAGCTGGCTGTTCTTTGGCAAAACCAAAGGTACAGGCTTTGAGTTCAGAGTTTCCATGGCTCATATCTGTGAGCTGCATGCAGAAAGGACTTGTGTGACTGATCCCCCTCCCATCACTGCCTGCCTTAGCATACACCCCTCAAGGTCTACAGCTCCATCTGACAGAGACAGGTCCAAGTGTCTTCCCCCATTTCCTAAAACCCTGTGAGGGATAGGCTCAAATCAACCCCCAAAGAGCATCCCAAGGTCGCTTCTGGAAATCCTGCAAGTGTGCCAGGGTGTTGCTCAGGCAGTCCTCTCTCACCCATACTCCGGACCAACTCTTTCTGTAATCCTGCTAGAGACCAGGACAGGTGCCAATGTCGGCTTTGTCTTCTACGGCTGACTGCCTACCTACCGCTCTCACCTGGGCAGAGAGTCCAGGCTGCTGCCAGCTACTCGGGCTACTTGGGTCTCCTGCTCCTGGTCCTGATCACTGCGTTCAGAGAAGAAGCATTGCTAACCTTTTCTCAATGCCTCCTACTGCTAGCTGGGGATGTTTTCTACAGTTGACACCTCCAAACAATGGCTACTCACCCAAAATGTACAGGACACCATACTGCCCCCACAGCAGGGGTGGGAAAACTTTCCTACAAAGATCCAGAGTTAAATCTCTTTTATGCTATTACCACCACCACCACCACTACCACCAGGGGTGAAGAAGCCAAGGCTTCACATATCCCAGGCAAAAATGTACCACTAAGTTATACCCCTAGTACCAGGAACATTTTATGGTTTGGAGAGCACAGTATGACCTATATATTTTAGCATTTAAAAAAAAACTTGGGAAATGTAAACACTATTCCATCTCTTAAAATTGTAGCACAATACACAGAAGATAAACAGCATCATCCTCACCAGTTTTAAGCACGCTGCCAAGAGGTGTTCACATTGTTGCACAACCAGTCTCCAGAACTTTCCATCTCACGAAACTGGAGACACCTGTACCTAGGAAACAATGATCCCAACACCCTTCTCCCATTTCTTTTGCTCCTCAGAAGCCCCTTTCTGTCTTCTGTGTCTGGGAACGTGACACTAGGTATATTATGTGCGTGAGACCATGTAGTTATCCTGCAGTGCCATTGATGGAATAGTATGTCAGAATGCCCTTTCTTTACAAATCGCTGAATAGTGTTTATTTCCATTGACCGTGCTCCTAGCAATAGTGGATGCATAGCCTGAACTTGTCACCTCCTGTGATCAGATTAGTGACTACTCCAATTGTCATCAGAGCGCCTCTATCCAGTAACTGATACAAACAGATGCAGAGACCCTCAGTCAAACATTAGGCTGAACTCGGCGAATCCTGCTAAAGGGAGGAAGGAGGGATTGTAGGAGCCCGAGGGGCCAGGGACATCACAAGAAAACCCACAGAAACAACTATCTGGCTCACAGGAACTCACAGAGTCTGAACCAACAACCAGGGAGCCTGCACGGGACTGACCTAAGATCTCTACATATATGTGACAGCTGTGTAGTTTGGTCCACTTGTGGGACTCCCAACAATGGGTGCAGGGGCTGCTCCTAACACTTTGGCTGGCTCTTAGGAATCTATTCCACATAGTGGATTGTCTTGCCCAGCCTTAATACAAGGGGAGGTGTTTAGTCTTACTGCAACTTGATATGCTATGCTTTGTTGACACCCATGGGAGTCCTGCCCCTTTCCGAAGAGACACAGAAGGAGACTGGGTGGAAGTAGGGGAAGGGAATGGGAAGAGAGGAGGGAGGGGAAACTGAGGTCAGGATGTAAAATAAATAGATAAATTATTTAAAAAATTATCCTTTCCCAAAATATCCAAAGTAGGCTTCCCATGTCTTATTCTAAATTCTGGAGGCCATATGTATTTGGTAATTCAAAACTTTAGAAGAATGATGTATGTCTGTCATGTTTTACATAAAATCCTCAGAAGGTCTAGGTTAGCAAAATAAATCAGGTGTATTAATATTTTCTCCAAAGAACATATAAATGTTAACACAAGTAGGTTAAAATCAACAAATTTGAGATGATCCAGGAAGACTAGACACCCAATGCACTTAGCAAGGTTAGGTTAGGTGTTATGCCAAAATGAATTGATGAAAACATTCTGTGTTCAGGGCTTCCCGAGTCACCTTTTTCCTCATGCTAGAGACTAAACCCAAGGTCTTGCACGTGTTCAGCAAACTCTACTCCCAGCTCCAGAGCTTGCTATGCTCAACTTCTACATGACTGCAAGAGAAAGCCATGGAGCCCTTTAAAACAAAAATCCACATAAGCTTTGGCACTAACCCAGAGGAACAAATAGTTATGTCTCAGTGTTGGCTGAAGAAAGCACACAGAGAACAACTTAGGAGTGAAGTCCCACGCGCATACACAACAGTGAGGAGGAACCTCACACATGCCCTACATTCAGCCTATGTGCCCTTCCCCACCGTTCCCACCCTCTAGGTTGTATGTGTGCACGAGTATGGTATGTGCTGTGCACCTTTTATGTACTTGCTAGGGTAGGTGGAGGTGTGTACGTCTGTATGTATAAGCCAGAGGTCAGTGTCAAATGTCTTTTCTCATTCTCCACCTTTACTTCTTGAGACAGACTTTGTCATTAAACCTGAAGCTCATCAATTCAGATAGGACAGCTAGCTGCTGGCTGAAGAAGTTCCAGGATCCCCCGCCCCCAATCTCCACTTTGTCCCCTACCATGGGGATACAAGATATAAGACACTAAGTCTGGCTTTTTAATGTGCACTTTTAGGGACCCAACTCCTCATGCTTGCGTAGAAGGCACTTCAGGGACTGAGCCATCTCCCCAGCACTTTCACAAGGTTTTGTAATGCTTAATCTTTGGTTAAGAATTACTGTGGAAATATTCTGTCTGTACTGTGAAGGAAATATTAAGTATGGATTTATTTGTATGATTTATGAGGCACAGAGAATAAGTTCACCTTTATAAGCTGCCTACACAGATGTCAGGTAACTAAAAATTTATGCATGATTTAGGTGAGAGAGTACACAAAGGAATTTTATTTGGAAGACTGAGGCCCTTTTGTCAGGGCAGCAGACCTCAAGTTTGTAAAACACAATGGGAATTCCTCCAGCAGACCTGAGCCCAGACATGAAGTAACCTTTTCAGAGCCCAAGGAGAAGCAAGAGACAGGATATGGCTGCTCCCAGTGGGAGCTTCTCGAGATACGCTCATCCCTGACCTTCTCTGCTTGTCTGTCCCTGGGCTGCTGATCTAGAACACATTCTGATCAGCTGTCACCGAAAGAGCCAGAGGTGGAGGAGGTCCCTGCCTTTCTAATTCTTTCGATTCTAAATGGTAAAAACACAAACACCCCCCCTCCTAAATGGAGACTAGGAAATAAAAATAATCAAAAAAGAGAACAGTAAGTCTTTGCTCTCCCTGGATACTAAACAAAAATATCCTAGGAACCGCCACTAATGGATAAAAATTAAGGAATCTTATTAGAGAGTTACAAATTCAAATCTCATGCAGTAGCTTTCACTTTTTATCTCCTGAATTCTATAGTGACATAAAAAAAGCATCTGTTAACTTCACAGTTTTAAAAAATCTTCAATTTTAAATTACGGACATAACTGTAAAAACGAAAGGCAGGGAATGTATACACGGGGGCTGTCTGCACTCATTCTCTTATAAAGCACTTTCTGGGAAGCCACCAATTGCCAGCGTTCTGCCAACACTTTATGAACATCGGTTTGTGTGCTGGTTTTTAGTTTGGTTTGGTTTTCCAGACTTCTCAAGTCCACACTCAGCAGTGACATATCCCAGAGAACACAACAGACCGGAGCCCGACCTCAGGAAGTGTGTTCGCCTCTGTGGAGTCAGAAGTCAAACCCTCAGGGATCATGCCTCTTCCTCACTCTTTCCTAAGCATTCTGAGGAAGTAGGGCGGGAAGGTCTCCACAACAGCTCTGTGAGTTAGAGACACTCGCAGCTCTAAGCCACCCTGAGATCAGAACAAGACGCCCTGCTGTGCTGGTACACCGTAGGGTGTCTGCGGACTACAGTGGTGTGCTCACTAGTGAACAATTATAAGGCTGGTTTTCACCACAAGGAGATGATAATTGGGAGGATAGCTGTGTTTAGCTTGACTTCAACGTTACGTCAATATATACATGTATCAACACATCGCTTGATACCCCATTAATACGCAAAAAGGATTTTCATCAATGCTTATAACATTAAAGTCTAATAACAAATAGTATGGAAAACAGTAGTAATAGCTATCATTCTTACAACAGTTATCAATAGCATTAGTGTCAGTCGGTCAGCGAGGAAAAACTTGGGAGTAAAAGAGGAAGAAAGACAATGTGAGGGAGTGCGTAATTACTATAAAGACTTCCAGTAGTATCACTGTATTCCAGTAAAAAGAAGCATTCTTCCCCATACAGCTTACACCACGGCTATTTTAAGACCCACATTGGATATACTGAGAACTTGGGAAGGAATGAGAAGACAACTAATGCTACATACACGGCTGAGTCATCACACCGTGCTTGCTTTCCTCAGTTTCCCTCCGTTGTTCTAATAACAGACAGAAGGCGGCCTCAGCCCGCCACTGACCTTATGGAGGGCGGGAGCCAACACTGGTACCAAGAAGCCATTGTAGATGTAGCTGACGAGCTGAGAGCGGATCAAGGGGTGGGCCACCTGCGACAGAAGGACACAGGGCTCAGTGTCTGCAGTTCTGTGTGTATCTTACATACAAGATGGAACCTCAAATCTAGGCCATGTTTTCATTTGTTAAGTAATACTTCAGACCCCACGATGACTTGATTTTTTTTTCAAATCTCTATTACAGTATAAACAGCTAAAGTTATACTTCCAAATATGGAAAAAATGTTAATTTTAACGTTGATTTGAAAAAGACAATGAATAGACTGACTATGTATAAATATTAATAAGTCCAAATGAATAAATTAGAAAGTATAATTCTTGCCCCTTAACTCCCTCGGGGCTCCATATCCACTCGTGCTACGTTTTTAAGAGCGTAGCTATGGAAAATGATAATTAAATGTGCTTATTTTGCTAACAGAGAACTTTGAAGATATATTTCCTGGTATTTATATTAGGGAGAAAAGAGCCTATAAAATGCTCTCATAAAAAAATGGACAGTCTTCAAAAGCAGAAAACATTGCTGGTGGTACTGAACTTCCCAAATTTGACTTTCAAAATACATGATAACATGGGCAAACCTTTACTAATATTTTTATAAGTAATCCTTTCAGGGGTTCCCTAGCCCCAAATCACTATTTAAATGTTTTAAGATAATGTTTGCCTTTAGTTTGAAATAAAGACACAATTTCCCCACTCCTCACTGCCCATCAGCTTTACTGAGAGAGGGAAAGGAAGAGGGAGAGAGATTCGGTCAAACAACAACGTAAAAAGCGGTTTCTAGGGAAGTAAGCCTAGCTGTTTAAATTACTGACACTCTCTCTGTACATCCCAAGAAGAGCTAGTAGTAGTTCTATCATTTTTATTCCCATACATTTCTGCAAGAAAATGTTGATAGACTATAATATTAAAGGGAAAATAATTTAAAGTGTAATCCATTTATCTTAAATACAAATAAAACTTCCTTTGACTTAGCAATAAAAATGAGATGGGAACTAGAGTAATTCACTTTCACTTTCCTCCAGAAGCTGTTTCTTTATTTGGTAGATAAACAGATTATAACTGACATTTCTCACCCTAAAAAAAAAATCACCACAAAACAAACCTGATTTCTTAATACATCCAATATTAAGGTAATATTTATGCTACATAGAAGAAATTTTGATGAAAACTTAGTACGCCCTTAAACATATACAAAATTGGATTTTTATTGAAAACAGTAACAAGAAATCCGACAGTAAAAATCTAATCAAAAAGCCAAATATACAAGAGTTCAGTGGCTGTTTTTCCCCCTAAAGCGAGCCAATTTCAAAGCAAATTTAATTTGTGTAGCTAAGAAGATTGTTAACTTCTTCCAAATTCGATTGGGACGACAATATTCTTTATGTAGTGTGCACCATTAAGCAAAATAAAGTGTTTTCCTTGTAAGTGCCCAGGAAGACCTTGAAGTAAAAGGGTTATAATCTGGAGTACTTAAGCAGCCTAAAAATATCTATTTAATGAGCCAGCCTGTGAACTTATTTTTGATGGGTAAGTGGATAATCAAAACAGAATAACACTTTTTATAGAGAAAATAAAATCTTTCATTTGTTTTCAATTGAAATTTTCAGAAGTCTACCAAACGGTTTCTCTCATTTCAGGATATTCAGTGGGATTCAAGCAAAGCTTCATGATTCCACGAGCACGTCTCAAAATTGAAGAAGGGTTCATTTAGGAGAAATCTGAGCGAGGAGGGGTGCTCACGCACGCGGACCCCCAGCAAGGCTGGGGCTCTCAGCAGACTCCAGCCCACCAGGGCTTGTGCTGCCGCCAGGCAGTACCTGGATGACGGCGTTACAGAACTCCAGAGAGTTCATGAACTGCACGAGGGGGGGCAGCAGGAGCCAGTCGTCCTTCAGAAGGCAATGCCACTCCTCGCCCTTTTCTTCCAGCTTCGTGGGCAGGGACGAGTACAGGCCACTGAGTCCAGTTGCAAGTACCTGCGTTCAGAGAGAAAAAAAAGTCTAAACAGTCTTGTCCGAAGTCCCTGATCTATACCAAACAGCTCACAAGGATGCCTGTGTTGCTGGTCCAAAGACCAAATGCAGAGTAGCAATAGAAGAAGGTAGCAACTAGCTAGGGTGGTTTAATCCTGTTCTACGGATAGAATAAGAAGGCCATTCCCCAGCAGACAAGGCAAAAGCAGAGCTACTTAGCTACTAGTCAAGAGGTTGATGAGGGTGATGCATCTTTTATGTCCGGCACCATGATAAGCCAGGAGAGAAGCAAGTGAGAAGGCAAGACACAAAGATGAACAAAATATGAGTCTCATACCCAAGAAGTTCAGGGAAGGGATAAGCACGGTAGAGCACAACTTGGAGACAGCCAATAGAGAAGTGTGTCTGTGAGATTACTCCAGTCTAGGGGAGGCAGCCTTGGGTAGAGGGGGGCCAGGACGGAAGGTTCCCAGTAGTTTTGTGAGAAAGACTGCTTGTTTGTCAAGGATCATGACTGACACTTACTAGCAAGTTTACCTGGTAGAAAACACTTCCATATGTAGTACTTCCTCCAACCATCATTAACAATGTAACAGGAAGAAAGAACTGGGCGGGAAGAATGGCAGGACACAGAGCTAATGTGAGTCCACACTGAAGCATCAGTGGAGTCTCAATGCAAAATGGATGAGGATTATCTAACCAAGACCTTTGGTTTTAAGTCAAAACTGGGATTTACTTTTTCCCTTTGCATCCAATTCTTAAAACTATGCTGACAGTATTTGGGCCTGGCAAGTGAGATTAAGGACTTTAAACTGTCAAGTTCTCAGACTTGATGATTAAGAAACGGCTTTTAAAGAGAAGTGTAGAAAGGGATCACTTCATGCCAAGCGCTTACAGGATAGAAGGGTGGGGAGGCTGTGGCTCTCACAGGGCCAGTGGCTTCTGCTAACTGTGCAGCGTCTCAGACAGCCCGACCTAGCCAATGTACAGAAAAACTGCACACAAGAAGTCAGCTCTAGGACTGGAGAGATGGCTCAGGGCTAAGGACGCCTGATGTCTGACCACCTGAACTTTATCCCTGGCCCCATATGAGGGAAGGAGAAAACTGACTCCTGGAAGCTGTTCTCTCACCTCCACACATGGCACACCATGGCATGGACACGCCCACACACACACGCTCATAGGCACACACGATATAAATAAATAAATATGTAGTTAAAAAAACAAGACAAAACAAAAAACACGAGTTGATTACAAAAGACACCATTCTAGCACAGGTCCTGAAGGGACTCAAATGGATGGAAACATTCAAGAAAGTATTCTGAGTCAGAAGAAGTATTGGCATACCTCATTGATCTCCCAGCCATCGAGAGACAAACAAGGAATTACAATACTGTTAGAAACACTGAAAACACACAATAGGACATTTAGGATGCTGCTGATATACAAAAGCTCTTCACTCTGACCTGAAGGTAGGAGATGAAAATGGCAATTGCTCTCAGAAGTGCTATCTAGAACTCTGAAGGGTAAACAGGAGCAAGCCTGAAAATGAGCCATGGAAGGAAAAATGTTTCAGGTAGAGGAAAGGCCTGTACAGGGCCTGAATGGAGAAAGAAGAGGAGATAATGTCAGGGCCAAGAAGCCCAGCGCTGTCAGAGCAGAGAGGGCTGGCCACACAAAAGTGAATATGAGCCACACCCTGCAGGGTTCTACCGCGCTGCACGAAAGGCTCGTGAGACTCCTGTGTAGAGAGCCCTATGGGCAGCTGTGTGGATCTGATGCCTGTGAGAATGCTCTAGGCTAGAGGCAGCCTGCTAGAGCCATCGTGTGAAGGGGTCACTCAAGCATAAAACCAAAGAGGAATAGGAGAGGAAGACCATGAAAAGTAAGACAAGTTAAAAAAAAACACACACACAAACAAAATGCAAAGCCTGGCATGGGTAACAAAAAACAGAGAAGCCTTGCAGCCAGAAATGTTAAAGTCCAGGGGGAAATTTCCATAGACCTACAGTTACCTCTCCTTTCACTTGGAGACAGTCACCTCTCTGGCATACACTAGCTTACGCTCTGTCTTCTCTGTCTCTCCTGATTTGATCTGGTCACATCAATCTACACCGGAGATAGGGATGATTGATACAATCAGGTGTGTTGAGTCTCGATTGTGACCTTCCAAGAGTAACACAATGAACTCTATGATACAATCAGGTGTGTCGAGTCTCGACTGTGACCTTCCAAGAGTAACACAATGAACTCTATGATAAGGGAGTGCAAGTCGACGAGGCCTTAGCACAAGGAAACCCGAGGAAGCCTTAGGAGAAGCTAAGAGATGAGAACATAGAATAAAGGACAATGGGAGGAACGGATGGACCATATCAACACTATATATACACAGATATATTTCTTTGTTCTATTTCCTAATAACTTTTAGCCACTCATACATTAACTCACTCATTATTAAGAAAAACCCTGACTACTTAATTTCAGGTCTGGTGCTAAGTATAGAAAACAAAACAGTAAGCAAGATTGATCTTTTATCTCTTTAAAAATCGGGACATCTGTGGTCCCCAAGGAAAATGCCCTCTATTTAAAGTACTTAATTCCTTGTCAGCATAACCATACAAATCACTTTAATACTAGTTTTGTGTGTGACCCAAATGAGTTGTCTATTATAAATTAGAAACCTCTGGCAAAAGCATCTGGAGCCCAAAGTCCTCCTAAGAAGAGAAGTCTAATCTTGATGCTACGTTTTAAAAGTCAATTGCGTTTGCTAACTCATGCTAAATTAACCACAGAACAAAGACTCTAATTCTGTGTCCTCCTGGTTTCTAAACCACTTTGAGACTCTGAAGATGAATTCATAAAGACAAGCTTAATTTGTCTGACTAAAAAGCTGGGAATAGCTATTCAGTATATCAATATAATTACAGCAACATTAATTTTCAAATTACATACATCAGTGGCAGTAATTAAAAATAACACACACCTAATACTCACTTTTTAAGTGAGTTTTCCAAAAGGGCACGGCTGGGATATGAACGGCAGGAAGCCTGCCCAGACAGAAAGACCCATGCAGACGTGACAGCTGATAAGACAGGGTGTCCCCACCACGTCCCTGACACTATAAGGCAGGGCTAGGAAATAGCCCAGCTATTTTCCTCAGAGTGGGAAAAAAAAAAAAAAGGAAAAAATATTCGGCAAAATAAAAAGCACTATGCATTCTTCGGACAGGAGTGCAAGTGTTCACCTCTATTAGCAACTGCATTCCCTTCCAAGACTCTGAGTTCAGATTCATTTATGTAGATTACACACAGTTCTAGAACATGGGCTGTGGGCCATGCATAGGCAGGGAACAAGCCAGGCCAGGAGAGACGGAGAGGCCGGCTTACGATCACAAACAGGACCCTCAAGAATACAGAGGTGCCTATATATTTTTCTTTGGGTTCTCCTTATTTAGCTTCTCTAGGATCACTAATTATAGGCTCAAAGTCCTTTGTTTATGGCTAGAAACCAAATATGAGTGAGTACATCCCATGTTCCTCTTTTTGAGTCTGGCTTACCTCACTCAGGATAGTGTTTTCTATTTCCATGTTCTATTGGGAACTCACCAAGGCCAGCTGGCCTGGATCTGAAAAAGCCTGGGATAAAACCGGACTCGCTGAACATAGTGGACAATGAGGACTACTGAGAACTCAAGAACAATGGCAATGGGTTTTTGATCCTACTGCACGTACTGGCTTTGTGGGAGCCTAGGCAGTTTGGATGCTCACCTTACTAGACCTGGATGGAGGTGGGTAGTCCTTGAACTTCCCACAGGGCAGGGAAACCTGATTGCTCTTTGGGCTGACGAGGGAGGGGGACTTGATTGGGGGAGGGGAAGGGAAAGGGGAGGCGGTGGTGGGGAAGAGACGGAATCTTTATTAAATAAATAAATTTAAAAAAAAAAAAAAGAATACAGAGGTGCCGAGGGAGCAGGACCAGAGGAAAGAAGTGGCAAGAGGAGGTGGGTTCTTGTTTCAGTTTTGTTTTGTTTCTAGGTTCAAGACTAACATCAAAAGAGATTTACTTGTAAATTTCACTGTGTAACTTGAAAACTAAACTATAAAAAGGTGCATTTATCTGCATTCAATGGCTAATTAAAAATAAGAGGCTCATCTACTCTCTTATCCTTTTATTGATTCAGACCACAAAATTGTAAAACATTGTGTTTATTCTCAATACATCAAATATTAACCAAGTACTTGCCACTCAACACCTCCCTAAAGTACACATTGAGTGACGTTATCATGGGCTAAGAGATGACTGGGCAGGTAAAGTTCTCGCTCCACAAGCATGAACTTCCTGTTCTCTGATCTCTAGCACCCACATAAAAGCCAAGGAGGTGTGGTGGCTGCAACTCCAGAGCTCAGAGAGTGGAGTCAGGTCATCCCCAGAACAAACTGGACAGCTAGACTAGCCAAAATGGGAATAATAAACTTCAGTTCAAAGACTCTGTCTCAGTGGATGAGGTAGAGTGATCAGGGAAGAAAGCTGATATCAAGTATGTGTGTGCGTGCGTGCGTGTGTGTGTGTGTGTGTGTGTGTGTGTGTGTGAAGGAAAGATTGCCATATAGGGCCATATCGATAGCAACAGTGAAAAGCAGTAACTTCTTGACAGTCTTGTGTGGCTACGCTGCAACAGCAGCTTTAGTATCAGACAAATATGGTTTTGAGCCAGACTCTGTCATTAACTGGAAGCTGTCGAACTCTCTAAACTTAAAGGAGCTGTTGTAAGGATTAAAGAAAATAACCCATGCAAGATTAATGCAATGGTTTGCACGTGGTGATGGAGGAAGGACAAGCCATGCACACAGCACCAAGCAAGCTAAAGTCAATCCTTAAACATCCCGCAGTTCTCGGTTCATTTTAGCAGCTACGATTTTTAGCAGATGGCTTTGGTGGGACGCTAGCAGCAAAACACCTTGTAGAGACCATTTGATACAGCTTGCCAAAATAAAGGGCCTCATAAATTCTGGATATGTGAGAAAGAACTCCCTACCTGTGGCTCTGTACCTAAAGGTCACCTGCTCTGATTTACATGGTTTGATTCATGTCTGCAAGGCTGTGTGCTCCTTGCCAACATGAGACAAATGGTCTAAGTATAACCTTCTACATTTGTGTGTGTGTGTGTGTGTGGGTGTGTGTGTGTGTGTGGGAGAGAGAGAGAGAGAGAGAGAGAGAGAGAGAGAGAGAGAGAGAGAGAGAGAGAGAGAGGTGATCATTTAGTGCCCAGCCATTTGTTGGTACCAGATTGTTCTCAGGGCATCTCTATTCTCCTTCTTTTCTTGAGAACCAAGAAATGAGAGAGCAGAACCAGTCAGCCCTTCCTATCAACTCTGAAGACAAAAGTTTCCAAAAGGGGTCCAGTTTGCTAAGAGAGTCATTGGTCTTCCGACAGCCTGATGTTAACACACTTTGACAATCATACTAATTAGAGAAAGTTCTTTGTCAATTGTGGCCTTAGCTGGTTGGCTAATAGAGTATGCTTTTATCTGCAACATAAAGGGTTTTTTATTTTAATTATGTTGTCAGATGTAATTATGGAAAACTGGGTATAAATGAGATTATGGGCTCTATCCTGAGGGGCAACCTAACCCGAGAAACTTATCTTCCATTTTAGCAAATGAGGCCAGCTGACAATGTTGTTTTTTCCCTCCACTCTTAACGAACTGTATAACATTTTAAAATGCATTTTTATAAAGGCAACAATTAGTGAAATCAGCTCAAACACAGTTAATGGAAATCTAAACATTAAAACTACACCACATTCTTCTCCCAATACAGTTGAATTTTTAGATTATGAAATATTACAGATAAGTAGAAAATGATAGACTTGAGAACCAACGCAATATTTATCAGATGTTATTATTTTGCTACAGTTTCTTCAGAGTATTTTGCATGCTTTTCAAAAACTGGTACAGCAGCAGGTGGGGCGTGGGGCTGAGTGACAGAGTGTGTGCATGAGGATCTGGGTTCAACCATTCCACAGTGCCAACAAACAGAACAAACCCTGCTCCATTCCCACGGCCATCCTCTTCCTTTCTGCCTCCTCAAGGCTGACCCGAGTCCTGAAGTTAAGTATTGTTAAATCACTGTTCAACTGAACATACCTGTGACAATATTTGTAAGTAAAGCTTCAGGGTCACACAGTATGCAAAAATTTGGTGTTAGTGACCATAATTATATTGCTTTCCTAAACGTATATCAACTTATTTCTCAGAAGTTCTTGTCTTTTCTGTATCTTGAAACACTTGGGCACATTACAGTTACTCAAATTCCACAGTCCAAATAAGAATTCGCTTTTGCTGTACATTCTGTAGCTTTGAGCAAATATACAAGGGCATGCATCTACGCTAATGTTTTTCCTGCCTACTTTGGGAGATGCTTCTCTTTCTACTGATACAGTCATCTAGTGTATTCAGACAACACGCCTCCTTTTCAGACTGTCTTCTTTCAACATGGTTGTATGTGCTTAAGGTTCCCATGGTCTTTTCATGTCTTGTTGGGTCATTTCAACATTGGATGGATCAGTTCTTATTCACCTAGTAAGGGAGCTATCTTGGTTGCTTCTACAATTAATACTATGAATAAAGCTACTAGAAAGATCCATGTTCAGGTGTTTGTGTGGATGTAAGTTTTAACTCCTTGGCATAATATCAAGGAAAGCATATGATAAAAGCATGTTTTATAAGAAACTGTCAGGACTGGAAAGATAGCCCAGTATTTAAGAACATTGAATGTTCTTCCAGAGGACCTGAGTTAGATTCCCAGAACCAACAGGGTGATTCACGACCCCTGTAACTTCAGCTCTAGAGGACTGAATGCTGTCTTCTGACCTTCAGAGGCACTGCATGCAAGCACAGACACACATGCAGGCAAAATACTCATATATATGAAAATGAATAAATAAATAAACCACTTTAAAAAGAAAACTATCATCTGTCTCCAAAGCAGCTGCACCAAATTGCATACCCACCAGTAATTAAAATGAATTCCACATCCTTGCCTGCACTTGGTGTTGTTGGTATGGTCTGTGAACACTGGCGTCAAGTGAACCCTTCTTCATGAGCATTATATCCCCATTCTAAGAAGACACACCCACCCACCTCATATATTTCTAAATGTCCTCTAGGGATTGTGTTTCTCCTGGTCTAAAATCACCCATACAATGTTTACTAGCAATAACAAAAAATCTCATCTACCCATAGCAACCTGCTTTGCCTTGTCCAACAAAACTCACCAGGGCTCTCCTAGCTATTCCATGTATGTAAGGCTACATGATTTATAAAGACTGATAGAAAAATAGAAAATAGCAATGTTCACTGAGCTTAGGAAGCATTGATAGCTATTGCCCAACCAACATAACACCCAGATCACTCAGAGACCTACGAAGCCCTGAAAATTACATACTGTTCCCATCTTTTCCTGGTGCTGAGCATTGGCTACTCCAATACATACCATTTGGTTTCACGCCATGGATTAAGGAACTTTTCAAAGTAGAGAATATTTTGTTACTGCAAATACATATTCATTTTTCAATAAAATCAGTGCTACAGACCAACAACTTACAGTCGTTATCTTGCTGAGAAACAAATTAATTTATGAAAGTAGCTGTGAGAGGTCTTACCACATGCCTTGACTCAGTGGACAAAGTCAACCTGAAAGGCTATGAATTTTAAAAGTGCAGGGTTTACCAACCTCTATGTATATATCCTACGAAGAAATAAAAAGTGTTCCCAACACAATAAAAATGAATTAAGAAATGGTCACAAGTCTAGAGGTAAATTTTGAGCTGCTACTGCTCAGCCAAATTTTAGCACTGAAACTTAAGATACCTCTGCTGCCACCAAGCAAGTTCCTCTGAACGTCTTTCCATGGAAGGTACACTTTAAATAAACGGAATAAAGGCATTTGCTATTGGCACATGAGCGGAAAGAAGTGAGCTGGAAGGAAAGCACAGCAAGGGAGGGGACTTACTGGACAGAAGTAGGTGTTCTCCACAATGTGATTGGCCACCATGCTGTTCTCCGCGGAGAGAGACATGATAAACAGCAAAGCATCCCGAGCTTGCTGGCCTACTGTGCCCTCCCGATGAATGAAGGGTATCAGGAGAGAGAAGATGAGGAAGTTGGCGGCCCCTTGGTCCTCACTGGTGTGGAAGAAGAGTTCCAGAATGGATGGGTCTTTGGCAAGGATGGAGCAGAGCTGGTTGAGCAGGACGACCAGCTTTGCCTCCACGGCTGGGGTGGTTGTCCCCGAACAGGAGCTCAGCAGCATCATCAGGGGTTTCAGGATGGGCTTATGGTGCAGCAGGGGCTGGTACGACTGCGTGACCAGCATTTCGTACATCTTCAGCTGCTCCAGTTTGGTTTCGTCGGTGAACTCCCGCCTCAGGCTCCAGAGGAAAAGCTTTTCCATGATGTTCTCACAGACCACAAACTCCAGAATTGGCCCCATGGCAGCATCCTTGGCTTGTTCTTCAATGAGCAGGAACAGCATGTGTTCCACATAGTTCTGCACAGCGCTGGCCTCATCTGGAGGGATCGATCCATATTTTGCCTGGGTGTTCTTCAAGGGGTCATGCTTCTCTAAGATCTTCACAACCTGCAACATATCAACCACCTGTCATCCGCTGCCGCTCACCACTGTTCCCCAAAACACACTGTTTTTAACCAGACTGGCACAAAAACACAGGAGCCATTGGATGCAAAATACCTATAGCTATCAAATATGCTATATCATATGAACTTGAAACTATGTATCAAGTACAAAAGTTAAGAAAAGCAAAATATGCAAAAATGGTAAGTGCTTTTGTGTTCAAAGAGAAAAAAAAACAAGTTACTTTTCATCTAAACCATTTATAACACAACACTGCCTTTTAAGTTTCAAATGCATTAAACAAGTAAAAGGAAACCTGGATACCTATATTCTTCCCTAAAACAATTGTTCTGAAGACTTCTGCAGAGCAACGGAAGTCCTTATGTGCTCTTGACAAACACTATGCCTCCCTTCTCCACTTGGAGGGGCACATCAATAGGAGCGTTGAGTGGAAAGTGAGAAACTGTAGGCTAGCACACAACAGAGGCACAGACACAAGAACCAAAATCTGGAGTATGAACATCTTGTTCTTTAAGCCAAAATAAACAAGCAAATAAATAAATGCCTTCCTGGGGTAATCAATTACAAAATAAATTTCTTAAGTTTGGAGTGATATGAAAGTTTTGTATATTGTGGTAAAAATAGTCAATGAAACAAAATTAGGCACCACCCAACACATGACTAAGGTAGATACATTTTGTTCAGTATCTGGATAGGTCATGCCACATCTTGGTCTGTCTCCCTTCCTTCCCAGTTTCTGACCTCACTCTGCCCACTGATACTTCTACTTGGGCGCCTGGAAATTTGAGCCATTTTATATCTTAATTTCCATTTACCTCAGTGACATGGGCGTCTATGATAACCCATTCACTTTCCTCCCTTTAAAACACTGCACCTGGTATTTTTAAACCACCCGACATTTTATTAGCGACTCTGTCTTTGCTTCTGTTTGCCTTTCTGAACAGCATCTAACGCAATATTTGCCTTCGGCGGTTCCCTCCTGGCCCAGTTCTATGATGCGTTGCTACATGTTATGTATTTAGGTAACAGGGTTTTTTTTTTTTTGAGTTGTTAGGGAAGCTGGCAAATACACAATGTCATGTCAGCATGCATGAGCAATCGGGGAAATTATTTCTCAAGAAAACGTCTTCATTTCTCATCTGTCAAAATTGTGAGAAAGGAATCTTTGTGGACCAGGTGAGTATATCCTGATAGAATGGATGCATTTCCACACTATCTGTGATCTCTATCAATTTTCATCACAAAGCTGATAATACTGTTTCACAGAGGGAAAAGTGACCCCAACACTTGAGCTGACATTTTTTCATGAGGAAAAGCATTTCTTGAACAGCTACCCAAATGATATAAGGTCCATGGATTGGTGACCACAAGGCGGCCACTGGACATCCTCTGCCACAAACCTCCTGAGAGCACTTGGTGTCCTACACATTCTCAGGTGCTGCAGAATTTCCTGCAATCCCACTGAGCTCACATGAGAACATCTGCAGAGAGGAACACAGTAACACACTGGTCCTGAAGGGGCTTTTACTCCAGCACCATACTTTCTCCAGCCCCAAAGATCCTAACCTGAAGGTTTTGCCTTCTCAAGAACGAACTGACTTGTGCTTTGTCAGTGCTAATTTCAAAAGTCCATGCACTGAGTCTACCTGTGAGGACTTATTTACAGCTAGGCCTCCGGGTAAAATGTGGTTACATTCCTCACTCCGTTCAGACTGTGCAACTGCCTAAGACTGAGGCTGCTTTATAGACGGGTAGCGGCATGCCAAATCACCTCAGCCTTCCTTAAAAATAATCCAGCAATGTGTAACAGCAGTTATGAAATTGTTCCTGATCTCAGACTAATCTGAGTTGAGGGGAATTGCCTAAAATGTTTGTGTCAACATTCTTTTCCAATAATGAGAAATAGAAACACTATTGACCCAGACAGTCAAGAATAAGAGAATTATAACCAAAACATACCACCATATAACTACTGTTACACAAGTGAATCATATTATCACACACTAATTATTTACATATATGTATAAACATATATCTGTATATACATATGTGTACATATATGTATATATAAGTATATATCTAAATAATTTGCTAACAGGAAACACAGGGGCGAGAGAGATGGCTCAACAGTTTAGAGTACTGGCTGTTCTTGCAAAGGATCCAGTTCAGGGATGGAGGGGGGAGGACCTTGGACTTCCCACAGGGAAGAAAGCCCTGCCCTCTCTTAGGACTGGAAGGGAAGGGGAGGGGAGAGGGTAAGTGGGGGAGCGGGAGGGAAATGGGAGGAGAGGAGGAAGTGGGAATTTTAAATGGTATTATTTATAAAGAAATAAAAAATTAAAAAAAGGATCCAGTTCAGTTCCTTAAATTCACATAGCAGTTCAAAGCCCCCTGTAACTCAAGTTATTAAAAACCCAATTCTCTAGAATGCCTTAGCGATATAAATTTATAGATATATACTTATGCTATACATATTTAATCAAATACTGTGTATCTAATATATATATGTAATATTCAGCAAAACAATTCATACGACCACAAATCATGTTCTTCTCATTCATTAACTTGTATTTATATGTATGATTGATTCCAAGAATTCTATTACTAAGCTTCATTCCCAGACCTATTGGAAAATATCTTTAAAGAAGAACAAAGCTGGGAATCATGGCACACACCTTTAATCCCAGTACTTTGGAGGCAAAGGCAGGTGGATCTCTGTGAGTTCAAGGCTGGCAGGGTCTACACAGTGAGTTTTCCTAACTAGCCATGAGGGAGGGAGGGAGGGAGGGAGGGAGGGAGGGAGGGAGGGAGAGAGAGAACCGAGAGCTGTATGACAGAATGAACCCTGTGTAGCTGCTTTTAGTTCTATAATTTATGTTTTAAAGTGTGTGTGTGTGTGTGTGCAGGTATGTGAATGTGCAAGCCGGTACCTGTGGTGGTCAGAAGGTGTCACATCCCCTAGAGCCAAAGTTACAGGCACATGTGAACTACCTGATGTGGGTACTCACAACTGAACTCTGGTCCTCTGCAAGAGCAGCGTGTGCTCTTAAACATGGAGCCAACGCTAGCCCATTCAGCAGCTTTTAAACTAAGTAAGTCAGCTCTACTTAGTGCAGACCCTTTCTACAGCCTTCTGGGTAAGTGGGCAGAGAAACCAGAGAGTAGAATTTTAATAATCCCCAGAAATGAAAGGTTTGCTGACCAGGAAGGGAAAGACACCCTGGACCCCCTTTCCTTGCCTGCCACCTCTTGCCTGTAGTCTCACTGCACAGGGAAATGGGCGTGTTATAACCAAGGCTGTGAGTCACAGGGCGCCCAAGCTTAGCAAGTGCTGGCTGCCTTTGTGCCCATGATTTACAAAAGCTGAGCCTTGCTTCTCAGGAGGCGTTTCCCAGGCTCCCTCTCCTTCCCTTCCCTTCCCTGCCAGCAGACAAAGCTGTAACTGGTGTTTCAGGTGGGTTCCTAGGCCACACCTGGGACTGGCTCTGACCACAGCAGGAGCCTTAGAAACGTCCGAGCAGGAACTCAGGTACACTGAGATGCCAAAGAGCTCCTGTCCAAATGGCGCCACTGTCCTCCCAGTGACCCCTGGTGTGACCTGGACTCTCCTTATCTTTTCCTTGTGTGCCTTTCTCTCACACCGCGGCTACCAAACCCTCACATTCTTGCTTCCAGTTTCTCTGCTTGCTGCCTAGTTTTACCCCCTGTTCTGACTCTAACCTTTCTAGACTGGTGTGCCTCCTGCAGGCTCAGTCCTTGCTGTGACTCTCTGCTATGTTACCCAGCCAAGCCTCTTCTCAGGCGTTGGCCGTCAGTCCTGGGGAAGGGAAAACTCGGCTAATAAGGCTGGAGGAGCCATAGCAGGAGAGAGGCTAAAAGCAAACAAAGTATACTTTGTAAACATTTCATTTACAAAACAAGTCCGCCATATTAAGCTGAAAATCATATTTAATAAACTAGCACATGGTAAAAGCCCACATTCATGAAGTAAACCAGCTCAGTTAATAATAATAAATGTACTGATCATAACTAGACATGTTTTTCATCGCTAGAGGGCATGTGGGAGTGGATCCTATTTAGTTCAATATATAAATTAATATAAGTTAAAAGTAAATACAAAATGAGCAGTATGAATAGTGGCTTTCAAATTACCATCAGATCAAAACAGTTAAATCCAACCTAAATTTCAAAGCCACTTGACCTTTAGATAGCAGTGCTACTAAGGCTGAAATTTTTTGTTTTGTTTTGTTTTTTGTTTTTTTTTTTGTTTTTCGAGACAGGGTTTCTCAGTAGCTTTGGTGCCTGTCCCGGAACTAGCTCTTGTAGACCAGGCTGGCCTCGAACTCACAGAGATCCACCTGCCTCTGCCTCCCGAGTGCTGGGATTAAAGGCGTGCGCCACCACTGCCCGGCTTAAGGATAAAATTTTAAAATAGCCTATTTCTTTCAGAAGGAATATCAGGTGTCCCTACCCTTTGTCTCTAACACGACTCCATCTGTCAGTGATAATGGGCCTGAATGTTAAAGTGATAAATTCTAAAAGGAAACTATGGAAAAGGTATACATTAACCACACAATTCCACCTCGTGCTAACACACGTGTTTCTCTGTCAGGAGATCTGCTTCAGCCCAGTCTTCCATTGCTCTCTGCCTCTGACACGGGGAATCACGCCACTTTGGCTAGACTTGCCTATGTCAAGAAAGCCACATGAGGAAGACCCACAGTTCCGAACCCTTTGGAATGCTAATCTAAAGTGACGGTTGTGGAAAAACTTAAGTTACTAAGCGACATTTTCCATTGCACAGAAAGGGAGGGAGGATTTAACTGGCATCGGCCAAATTATACTTTATGTACCAAATAATGACAACAGGAGTTAAGTTTCCACTGTTTCCTCATCATTACTTAATGGCTGAGCCCTTTCCACTTGGAATATTCCTTGAGAACCTGTCTCTACGGGTCTTACCAGGGCCGCAAGCCAGCTGACCA